TCAGGAGAGATCTCCTCTCACAGGCGGAGGGCACGCCCCCGCCCCGCCCAGAATGGACAGACAACACCAAATAAGACTGACACACACAGAGCGCTTGTTGAATGACAGAAAGCTAACGCCGGTTTCACCGCACATGCTTTTATGCTTTCTGGTCGCTACGTCACCCCGTCCGTGACGTCTCGCCCCCATCCTCTTAGGCTAATTATCTTATTATCTTAAAATCTCAGAGAGTACTTCAAATATATTCATGGCTGACAAAAAGTGTGAGAATCCTGTCACGCCCGCCAGCCGCTCCGCTCTCAAGCCCACAGGCCGTTCCATTGTCAAGGCCGCCGACCAATTCACTCCCAAGCCCTCAGCTGACAGCAGCTGTCTCCTTCACCTCTGCTCAGAGGAGGAGAATGCGGAGAAAAGGACTGTTAGTTCGAGCCCCTGAGTCCGCTCCAGTGTCGGCTCCAGCCCCTGAGTCCGCTCCAGTTCCCACGTCCAGCCCAAAGAGGGCTCCAGTCCCCAAGTCAAGCCTAGAGAAAGACCCTGTTCCTACGTCCAGCCCAGAGAGGGCCCCTGTTCCAGAGTCAAGCCCAGGGAGGGCCACAGTTCCAGAGTCAAGCCCAGGGAGGATCCCCCGCAGGCCGTTCCATTGTCAAGGCCGCTGACCAATTCACTCCCAAGCCCTCAGCTGACAGCAGCTGTCTCCTTCACCTCTGCTCAAATGAGGAGAATGCGGAGAAAATTACTGTTAGTTCGAGCCCCTGAGTCCACTCCAGTGTCGGCTCCAGCCCCTGAGTCCGCTCCAGTTCCCACGTCCAGCCCAAAGAGGGCTTCAGTCCCCAAGTCAAGCCTAGAGAAAGACCCTGTTCCTACGTCCAGCCCAGGGAGGGCCACAGTTCCATAGTCAAGCCCAGGGAGGGCCACAGTTCCAGAGTCAAGCCCAGTGAGGACCCCTGTTCCAGAGTCAAGCCCAGGGAAGGCCACAGTTCCAGAGTCAAGCCCAGGGAGGGCCACAGTTCCAGAGTCAAGCCCTGGGAGGACCCCTGTTCCGCCATGGCTCCCTAGTCTGCCTGCTGCGCCATGGGTCCCTGAACGGGTACCACCCTGGAGGCCGTCCGTCCCGTGTAGGCCTGTCCCTAGAGGTCTCCAGAGTGCCCACCGCCCCCTCCCCGTTGGAAGTTATGAATCATTTATTGCCATTGTGTGAATCATATATAATCATGTCAATAAGTAATTAGTCTGATTATGAGTATTTTAAAAAATATAATCTAAAAGTATTTAAATTTTAGAATCTGATTGTGTAATCCAGATTACATTTAATCAGTTACTACCCAGCACTGTTACGAGTTGATCACACATGAACACCACCACAAAGTCGTAATTATGAGTGGGAAACTCAAAATTTTCTTTAAGCCCCAAGTTTCTGAGTTTGGGGTGTGTCAGTGAGAAATGTGGTGGCGTTCACGTGCAATCAACAGAATCCCCCGACAAGACTTGAATGTATTTATTCCCTGATAAGTGTCGCCAACAGCAATAATGACCGCTCATCCAGAGCTTCCTTCATGTCTCTTGTATCACACCGACGGATGCGCTTTCTTTCGTTTCATTCCAATGCTGCTTTATTTACTGTAAAATGAAACCAGAGACTTCAGTATTATTAGGCCTGATACCAGTGTTGGGGGTAATGCATTACAAGTAACGCGAGTTACGTAATCAGATTACTTTTTTTAAGTAACTAGTAAAGTAACGCATTACTTTTTCATTTAGAAGGAAATATCTGAGTTAATTTTTCAAATAAGTAACTCCAGTTACTTTGTTTCCATGTATTGACTGACAGCTCTGGTGTTGCCATGTTGAGAGAAATCAGGAGTAAGTGCAGAGCGTTGTGTGTGAACATGATCTTACTGTAGTTCTAGACTAAATATGAACATGTGTTTACTCATCTCACCTGCACAAAAACAGATTCAGCATTCCTCAAAATGAATAAAAAATGACACATTTGTGTTTGATTTTAGTTATTGCTGAATAGTGTTGAACTTTCTTCTCCTGCGTCATATTCTTCATGTGATTTGTTTGCGCTGCGCCCTCTACTGTACAGACGTGAATTTACATTTCCTTCAGCCTGAGGCCTATTCATTTCACTTTTCTTATGAAAGGGCTTTCATGTTTGTAAAAGAATAACTTTTTTATATTAAAAACAATCAAGCAAGCCCTGCCCAGATTTAAAAAGTAGCTCAAAAGTATCATAACGCATTACTTTCCATAAAAAGTAACTAAGTAACGTAATTAGTTACTTTTTTAGGGAATAACGCAATATTGTAATGCATTACTTTTAAAAGTAACTTTCCCCAACACTGCCTGATACAGTTATATGGTTGAAGAGTTTGTCTTGTTTCTAGAATTAATTATAACGTAAGATTTTAAAGCAGTTTCAAATCAACATGTCATGTCCACATTATTAATTGGTGAAAATCTGTGTAATAATTGGTATGACTGTTACCCCTTTAAATGTTCATCTTATGCGAAATTGTTCGTTTTTCTTGCTTCCAAACCACTTGCGAGGAATTGTTTTTCTTCGCAGGAGGTTTGCGCTTAATGAGCTAATAAAATATTTCAATCCCAATCTATAGGCTATTTTGTGTCCAAGCGAGATAATTATTCTCAATTTAATATCATAAATGAATTATTTATCATTTATAAGTCCAAAATTTTTTATTTCCTGCAGTTTCAAATTATAATATCTTATTTTCAATGTGATCTCAGACTTTAGACCCCACTGCATGTTTCAGCAGATTTGTAGTAGTTTGTAATCAGAAGAATATTACAGTATGTGTTTATGTCCCTCAGGTTCCTTGGCATTCCAAGATCAACAATCTATTAAAAATACAGCACTTTAAGACTGACTGTGTCTACCGTAGATCATGCAGGGTTGTGGTATGAATAGTTACAGACCTCTTTCACATATTCTGTGACAGCCATCACTGCCCAGACATCTGTCAAGCTGAAGATATCTTTCTCATAGTAATATTTCTTAAGTTTGGCAAATGCGTCTCCCCATCTGACTCCTGGTCCGCTGAGTCTCTTGATGATTTGGTCCTTCACGGTCTCTAGTTTAGTGGACCAGTCTGGTTCTTGTGTTTCAGCAGATTTGTAGTAGTTTGTAATCAGAAGAATATTACAGTATGTGTTTATGTCCCTCAGGTTCCTTGGCATTCCAAGATCAACAATCTATTAAAAATACAGCACTTTAAGACTGACTGTGTCTACCGTAGATCATGCAGGGTTGTGGTATGAATAGTTACAGACCTCTTTCACATATTCTGTGACAGCCATCACTGCCCAGACATCTGTCAAGCTGAAGATATCTTTCTCATAGTAATATTTCTTAAGTTTGGCAAATGCGTCTCCCCATCTGACTCCTGGTCCGCTGAGTCTCTTGATGATTTGGTCCTTCACGGTCTCTAGTTTGGTGGACCAGTCTGGTTCTTGGTATAAAGAGGCCATGCACCTTCAGAGAAGAACATACTGCTCTCATTTTTGACATTCAACCCAATTCAGTCTCTCTGTGTTTGTTGTTTGTCAGGGTTCGTACCAGGTGGATCCAGAGACTCCGCTCAGATAAAGGATGCAGTCCAGAAGACCCGCTTTATCAAGCTGAACCAGAGATCCCAGCAAACCCACCATGGCTCTTTGTCCTCCTCCAGAACCCAGTAATGCAATGTTTGGCATTTCACTCTGAAATACACAAGCTTGATTTTGCATTCATCAGCTACAGAAACATTTGTAGGTAATTTAAAGAAGCAATAGCAGGCAGATATATGAAGTATAAGATGTTTTACCTTACTGCAGTGTATCTTGAGTTTCTGTAGGCTTTGAAAAACAGTTTCTCTCCTTCTGGCTACAAACTCCTCCTCATTCGTATGTAGAGAGTGTGCGATTCTCACCTCGCTGCTGCATAAAGACAGACAAACAGAGCAGTGCTGAATTTAACATCACTTACTATTTTAGAGCCATAACCACCAGATTGAGGGGGGGGCAAATCCCCCTTAATAATGAAAAAAAGAAGAAAAAAGAGTAATTGTGACTTTTTACCTCACTATCTTACTTTTTCTCGCAATTGCGAGTTTATATCTCGCAACTGTAAGAAAACAGTCAGTTTTTATTCCCTCAGAATAGGACATTATATCTCACAAACACGATTTTATATCTCACAATTGCGAGAAAAAAAGTCAGAATTTGAGAAAAAAAGTCAGAATTGCGAGATATAAACTCGCTATTCTGACTTTATTTCTCGCAGTTGCGAGTTTATATCTTGCAATCCCAAAATCATGTTAGAGAAAAAAATCTGAGAAAAAAGTCAGGACTGCGAGATAAAAATTCATAATTACCTTTTAATTTTTTATTCAGTGGCGGAAACAGGTTTCTGTAATTTTACGACAGAAATGTTAAACAACCGTTAGTAGGCTAATATCCAGTGACAGGAACTTGACGTTTTGTGTGTGTGTGTGTGTGTGTGTGTGTCAAATTTCACCGTTTTAATTGGAAATATAGTCTGACATTAAGTGATTCATGTAATTCATAACTGAATATGACAAGAACGTGATAAGATTGATAGGCATATTTTAAAAACAATTCAAACTGATAATTTTACAAAAACTTCACTAATTCCTGTTCTTTCCTGTTTCTTGTTCTTTTTCTTTAACAAAAATCCATTTAAATCTTTATTTATTTAATTCATTATGAGGTTATGAGGCGCACTTACCCATTAGGCAAAGGTAGGTGACCGCAATATGACAAGAACGTGATAAGATTGATAGGCATATTTTAAAAACAATTCAAACTGATAATTTTACAAAAACTTCACTAATTCCTGTTCTTTCCTGTTTCTTGTTCTTTTTCTTTAACATAAATCCATTTAAATCTTTATTTATTTAATTCATTATGAGGTTATGAGGCGGACTTACCCATTAGGCAAAGGTAGGTGACCGCCTTGGGTCTCCAAAAGCCAAGGGCCCCCTAAAATGGTTTTCATATAGGCCTACGAGATGCGCATTAAGCACGGACACGCGAACGGTAGCCGTTTACGGTGTTTATTATGACGACAACCTCCTGTGTGTCCGCGTTGAACGTGCTTCTTGTGTTTCCTGCTTGTAGCAAATGAAAATACCATGCATCTGAAGCTGTAATTAAATACTGAGCAACAGTGCGCATTATATGTTTATTGTTTTAAATGCCGCACATTTATGAGAGGGACCCAAGTAGAGGACGCATGTGCAGTTACTTTTGTGGTTGATATAATCCTTAGGTGTGTAAATGTATAATTTAGTCATAGTCATATAGTTAAAATAACTAAAAATAAATGTAGGCTATTTTAAAGTTTAGAATTAGACAGCCATGCACACAGGCTTAACTCATCAGTGGACTTTCCTCGCGATATGGCTATATTTATCACACTTCTCTCATTCTCACTAATTCAATTATATGAATGAATCTCTGAAGGGAACCGACTGTCTTCAAAAAATTTCGATGGCATTTTCATTTGATCTGATAAAGTAGCGTTTATGAGCGCAGCGCTGCTTTGTTTACAGTTGTTACTGGGGAAACCGCTATATTTCTGACGTTTCAAAAGCGCCTCCTGCTGGCAGAGAATGAATGTGCAGTTTCAATAATCCAGTCTGCAGTTTTGCGCATTATATGTTTATTGTTTTAAATGCCGCACATTTATGAGAGGGACCCAAGTAGAGGACGCATGTGCAGTTACTTTTGTGGTTGATATAATCCTTAGGTGTGTAAATGTATAATTTAGTCATAGTCATATAGTTAAAATAACTAAAAATAAATGTAGGCTATTTTAAAGTTTAGAATTAGACAGCCATGCACACAGGCTTAACTCATCAGTGGACTTTCCTCGCGATATGGCTATATTTATCACACTTCTCTCATTCTCACTAATTCAATTATATGAATGAATCTCTGAAGGGAACCGACTGTCTTCAAAAAATTTCGATGGCATTTTCATTTGATCTGATAAAGTAGCGTTTATGAGCGCAGCGCTGTTTTGTTTACAGTTGTTACCGGGGAAACCGCTATATTTCTGACGTTCCAAAAGCGCCTCCTGCTGGCAGAGAATGAATGTGCAGTTTCAATAATCCAGTCTGCAGTTTTTGTTCAGACCAATGCGAAAATCCTCAGAACCGTATTTTAACAAGTATGACATGTTCCTGGATCAACATCTTTGTTGTCCCTGGAACAACACTGTGATTAACCAATCAGACTTGAAGAACCAGGTTATAGTTTTTGTAAAGTTTAGGCTTACAATCAGTGTTTGGTGCTTGTACATCAGTGTCATTCATCTATCATTTCCTCTGGTTTAGGTGTAGGGATATGGTCAAGACTACATTTTTGGATTAAAATGTTGTTCCAGGGTCAACAAAATATGTTGACCTAGGAACACATCTAACTCAGCAAAATCAGGATGTGCACGAGAATCCACCCACATAACCTCATTTTAAATTAATATAATAATCTATACTTCTCACTCATCCCTTTTCTGGTTTAAAGGCTCAATTGTGAGGTTTATCGTTTTATAATTTATTTTGTTTTTGTGAAAATATGTATCTCAACTGTAAATCAATGGCTATTTCGTGGACTACAACATGAAAGAAAGCCATCATAACATGCACATGAAGAATGTAGAAACATTGGACACAACTATGAGGCACCATTGAGTAACAGCAAGCATCACAACAAAAAAGGAACCTCAAGGTTGATCCAGGTAAATGTGTGCAAATGCGTAGGGCCCCAATCCTATATTTTGCCTGGGGCCACCAAATCACTAAATTCACCCCTGGTTATGGCCTCGTGCTATTTAATATATTTATGATTTTAGATTTGAATACAACTATCTAAAGTTTATTTTGAAGTGATGATCGAGTTTGTAATAGACATTATGTAGGTTATGCAGGGCAGTATTTATATATAATAAAGTGCACAGCTTCCATCATTCTAGAAATCTGAGCAGGGTTACGAACCTTTCCTGAAGTTTGGATGCACTCATCTGTAAAACAACAGAGTTAACATTGAAGTTAAAATCTATCATTCAAAAATTATTAGGGAAAATCTGTTGATAAACTCTTAAAGAATTACACAAGTCATACCCCAAATGTCAATTATTAGGCCACTGTTTTAGTATAGTCTTTAGCTTGCAGGTAATTGGTCAAGTTTTAATTAGAATTGAATTCATTCATATTATTGTTGTCACTATAAATAAAATGACATTAAGCTTTTTAGTTGCTCTGTTATAAAAGCTTTAAAAACATATACTCACCGTTTTTGTGTAGTCTTGGAAAATACTGTGTTTCAGCGATAACAACAGCAGCTTGTCTCTCAAATCGGACGGAAGATCTTTTATAGGCTCTGGATCATCATGGGGGGGTTGAGGGGATGAACATGAATGAAAAACAGAAAACTGATAACTGGACGAGGGGAGGAGTGAAAATGCATGTGGGGACTTGTTGTGAATTGTTGCACGTTAGACTTGCGCAGATTAAATAATATTTTATCCATGACTGTGTTTATCTAAAATTCATGACTGTACATTATAATTTACAGAATAATAACTTTTATGTCCCAGAGTTTAATTTTGATTTAACAGATTTCAGCTTTTGTCTTCAGGTCACATTAAAGCTTGTTATCTTGGAAATGTAATGCCTTTATGCCCTCATTTATTTCTGCTATTTTACACTTTTATGTGTAGATTTTTTTATTGTTTTTCATTTGCTCCAGACTTTCAATCTTAAACTATGAAAATCCATCATAAGAACAGGCTATTACTGCATTTTGAAAACCATGATGATCTGAACAAAGATTAAAATAAACAAAATATGTTAAGATGATTTATATAATTTTTGGTGCATGAATGTAAAAATATATAATGTAAATATAAATGTAAAATTTAACTTTAAAATTAACTTCTTAATTAAGGAGATTTTCGTGAATCCAGCCGAGGGTTGTTACACTAAAACTAAAACAAACAAAGAAAAGACTTGAAATAAACATTAACTGAAAAAAAAATATTACAAAAAGCGTATTTATTTCTCATTTTAGCTGACAATATTTCTCATTTTAATATATGCCTCTGACATTTCTCATTTTTAATTAGTTCAACTTGGTGTACAAAAATACTAAACTAAAACTGAATTAAGAAATTAATTCTAATTCAAAATTGTAATAAAAACTATTGCCCAGTGTTTCAATGATACAGTGAGTGTAACACGTTTTGGTGCAACATCTGTAACATTCAGCCTTTGATATTCTTGTATTTATCTGCTACAAATTAAAGTCCAGAAATGTTTGTTTCAAAACATGCTTCTATGTGCTGCTTCCTATGGTGAGATATAATGTGTATATGTTCATTTCTGCATGTTACAACAGAGTTATTTCTGCAGAGCTACAGCATTCCTCTCAACCAGTCTCTCCAGAAATCTCATTATAATACCACACTTTATCTCACTTAATACGTACACTTTCACTTTATGACTGTGTGGTGACATTCTTTCATTTATAGAGCCTGCCTTATGCAGTGTGTGTGTGTGTGTGTGTGTGCGTGTTAAATGCAGTGAAGCTTTCTGACATATTAAGAGGAAGGTCAAGACCAGATAAAACCAGTACACTTTTAATGTAGTAGTCTAGAATTGGGAAATATCTGCACTAGGGAAAATGTATCTGCTTTTTATTATAAAATGCATAAAATTTATGTCACTGAACACATACTAACCTGAATTCACTGTAAATTCACAAAAGGTCTTAATAAATGCCTTGTTTGTGTTTTATTGACATTCGATTAATGAATAAAATAGCTAAGCTTTAAATAATACATTTTAAATATTTTTGCCTTTGATTTTTAGATTTTGTCTTGGTTTTGTAAAATGTGGTTTGAAAAATTTTAATAGCATCTTATATATCTTATCTACTATATGTGATATGACAAATAATAATAATAATAATAATAAAATAAGTACAAAAAAATCTGTAAACTGTAAATCTTTCATTTTAATATTCACAAATAAATGAGATCAAATCTCAATAGACAAATAAATAAATAAGCTAGTATCAGTATTCATGACAGATATTAAATCACTAAATATAAAAAATATAAATAAAAATATTTATATTAATATTATAAAATATTTGTAAAATTATTCATATTTATGATTAACCACTAAAATATGAATAAAATATAAATATACATTTAATATATTTATAAGAAATGTACATTTATATTATTTTTATATTATTATTTTAATTATTAAAATTATTTTAATATTTTTTATGCTTTCCATTTTGTTTCTATTTAACATTTCTATTTAACCATTTTTTATTTTAATATATTTTTAAATTTTGATTGTATTACATAGTTTATTTAGCTTGACAAAAAAAAACTGCATAGATTAAACTAATTTAAAATGCTTTTCTACAGCTTGTCTCTATTCTATGGTGTCCGAGCAGAGAAAATTGGGCCCTCTGGTGGTCATCAGATGCAACGGCATCTTTTCGCCTTCGCGTTTTGTGGTTTGTCCCTCGCGGGCTCTCGTCGCGCGTGTTGAGTGCAGAAACACGTGTATCTCTTCACATCATGGAGTTTGAGGGCTGCAGCTGCTTCAGACAGAGACTCGTGTTGTCCACACTGAGCGGAAAACGAGTCAAAATACCAAACATCAGATCTAAAGATGACAATCCCGGCCTGCGAGGTGTGTTTATATCACAACAGCACACGTGACACGTGATGCAGTATGTAAACAATCAATAACACAGCTCTTCATCATCATCAAAACATCTATACATGCATTATATGAAATACATTATCATCACAGCATCATATATCTACAGCACATGTTGTACTTCTGAGATTCAGATTCCAGAGTTTTCGTCTCTGTAGTTAAAAAATTGTTTATTACTTGTATTTCTTGCATGTTCAGTTCATTTATGAATTTATTTTCTTGTATTTATTTGTTTAGTTGTTTGTCATTTTGTATTCTATTCATTCTAGGCTTAATTATTTGCCTTTTAAATGTATTTTATAAATAAAATATTTATGCAGTAGTATTTTTATAAATAAAATACTACTGCATGTCCAAGTTTATTTGTTTGATTGTCATTTTGAACCCTGTTTATTCTAGACTTATTTATTTGCCTTTTAGTTTCTTTTCTAAATAAAATAAGTTTTTTTTTTACCATATTTTAATGGATTTTTGTTTTTAGTGTATTTGTATTTTTTTCATAATTTAAAAATCTTTGTTGTAAATTTGTTGCTTTTTTAATAAAACATTTTTTCAGAATTTTTACCTTGGATAACAAATTCACATAATTTTAGTTGATCCACTCTTTCATCTAAAAGCATTGTATGACATTTTAGTCTTGTAAATAAATATATAATCAAATTTATATTTGGCTACGAAACTAGTTTCAGGCATTTAAGCAGAAGCCTTTATATCAGCAACTTGGCTTAAATGTGGTTCTTCTCATCAGATTTTTACTGTTTTTTTTTTTTTAGCTTTTGTTTTTATGTGTTTCAAAATGTGCATCTGTTTTTGCTGAAGATATTATTTTATTATTTCATTGAAATCTAAACGTCAGATGTGTTTGTGTTGGTCAGATTTTGAAGCGAGCTTCATCAGGCTCCTCGACAAAGTGACCAACGGCACCAGGATCGAGATCAACCAGACGGGTGAGTTCTAGTGAACACTGGTTAACAGACGTGTTGGTTGTTCTCTGATGATATTCTTCTGTTGACGCAGGAACGGTGTTGTTCTATCAGCCGGGTTTGCTGTACGGCGGCTCAGTGGAGCACGAGTGTAACGTCCAGCGCTCGATCGGTTATTATCTGGAGGCTCTGCTCATGTTGGCCCCGTTCGTGAAGAGCCCGCTCAGAGCCGTGCTGAAGGGCGTCACCAACGACCCCACAGACCCATCAGTGAGTGTTTGCCCATTAATCGGCACCGATATTTGCCCCTTGGTCAGGGATCTGTCACATTTAGTGTTAATTTGTCAATTTAAAGGGACAGTTCACACAAAAATGAAAATTCTGTGATCATTTACTTGCCACATTGTTCCAAACCTGTACGAGTTTCTTCTGTTGAACACAAAAGAAGATATTTTGAAGAATGTTCGGAACCTTACAGCTGACGGTAGCCATTGACTTCCAAAGTACTTTTTCCATACTATAGAAGTCGATGGCTGCCGTTGTCTGTTAGATCGCCAGCATTCTTCATAATATCTTCTTTTGTGTTCAGCAGAATAAAGAGCAAAAATAAATACATTTTCATTTTTGGGTGAACTGTCCCTTTAAATGGGTGGTTGATTACGATTTCACTTTTTTAACTTTAGTTTGTGTGTAATGTTGCTGTTAGAGCATTAACGACGTCTGCAAAGTTACGACGCTCAGAGTTCAATGCAAAGGGAGTCCTATTTAAAGGACTACAAAAAAAAGACTATGATGAGCTTCTTCCTGCGTTTGTGACATCACAAACCCTAAAATTTACATTAAAAAAGGGGGCGTGGCCATGTTGGGCTGCTTTAGAGAAGAGGAAGAGTAGTTGTTGCCATGCCGTCGAAACTCTGATTGCAGGGCCTCTTTGTTGGTTAAAGGGATAGTTCACCCAAAAATGAAAATTAGCCCATTACAGCTGACGGTAGCCATTGACTTCCAAAGTACTTTTTCCATACTATAGAAGTCGATGGCTGCCGTTGTCTGTTAGATCGCCAGCATTCTTCATAATATCTTCTTTTGTGTTCAGCAGAATAAAGAGCAAAAATAAATACATTTTCATTTTTGGGTGAACTGTCCCTTTAAATGGGTGGTTGATTACGATTTCACTTTTTTAACTTTAGTTTGTGTGTAATGTTGCTGTTAGAGCATTAACGACGTCTGCAAAGTTACGACGCTCAGAGTTCAATGCAAAGGGAGTCCTATTTAAAGGACTACAAAAAAAAGACTATGATGAGCTTCTTCCTGCGTTTGTGACATCACAAACCCTAAAATTTACATTAAAAAAGGGGGCGTGGCCATGTTGGGCTGCTTTAGAGAAGAGGAAGAGTAGTTGTTGCCATGCCGTCGAAACTCTGATTGCAGGGCCTCTTTGTTGGTTAAAGGGATAGTTCACCCAAAAATGAAAATTAGCCCATGATTTACTCGCCCTCACGGCATCCATAGGTGTATATGACTTTCTTCTTTCAGACAAATCCAGTCGGAGTTATATTAAAAAAATATTGTATATAATAAAACTATAACATTTTAAATATGGATATTTTTGTTACAAAACCGCATCGATTCGCTTCAGGAGGCCTTTATTCACACCCCAGAGCCGTGTGAGGCACTTTTTATGATGGATGG